GCAGTGCAATTTACAGACTGCTCAGTGCGCTACAAACACGGCGCTCCTTCCATTTAGGGGCCTTTTATGGATAGGAAAATGACTCATTGTTGTACACCTCTACTGAAGCCTCCCCTCTTTTCCTGAGGAGGCAAAATATTTATGTTGTTCCAACACTGGAGCAAAGCGCCTGAAAAATTAAGCAAAAGTCTGGACCAGATCCAGTGTTGCATGTCACCCTTCATCTCCGTCACTGCAGGGGCTGATATAAATGGCGCGGGCTACACATTTATCATATTATGCAAAAATTGCTGATTATAAAACAGATTTAATGTCATCTTAAATGGAGCGTATCAATGAAAAGCTTGGGCGCATGCTTTATTGTTTTTTTTGTGATTAATGAGTATATTTATAGCTGTCACATAATAAGGGGCTAATAAAAAGGTAATTATTCCCGTTTTGTTTTGTTTTTCAGTTACTCAGCTCAAATCACTCTCATCTGTTCTCCGGAAAAATCGGTTCCCCTCTCCAAAAAGACAGCTCCGGTCTTCAGGTTCTACATTTTCCTGACAAGTAACCTCTAGTCACTGCCTCGCAGTATTTGTCTCCCAACAATTGGAGTTCTAAACCAGATTCCATCTCTGGGCCAGCTCCCTCTTCTTCAAAACAGAGTCTAGCAACTGGAGTGCTGACAGAGCTCTGATGGGGTCAAGGTCTTAAACAGCATACTTTCTGTATGTTTCATCAACCACCACAATGCTGGGTCACGCTAAATTACCAGAGAGGAAATTCCTTTCCTGTTCTGCAGGACTCTAGTGTTCTGGGACCAGTGTGTACCAGGTCTGTTCACTGGGCTTTGCTTTTTCTCTCTGTTTTTCCACTGAAATGATTGAAAGCGAGAGAAACAGCGTTGGATCTGGTTTTCTCCACACTGTAAATGTCATTTGTAAATTACGACAGGCCGTTGCTGTAATGTATTTACCACCGAGGATAAACAGCACAACAACGCCGCGGCTAATCTTCATTGACATTTCAGTCCTTTAGCTAACACTCTCACCCACAGCGACAGTACATTAACACAAAACCAATAGCCATTATAACACACATCACAACAAAGAGTGTGATATTCAGCGCTGCTGTGTCCTGATAATTCTACTGTGAACAAAGACTAATATGAAGAGGCAACATGAAAGGGAAAATTACTGCATTTTTCCCCCTCCCCATTGTTTTTTTTTTCATATTCTCAGAGAAGTAATGAAAAAAAGATCAGGAATGTAATTCAGAAGGAAGGAGGACAATGACCAGAAGGAATAAATAATAAAATGAAGCAAGATAACGCCTGACAAATCCCTTTGGGAGAATGCTAAGGAATGCTGTATGATTTCAAAGTAAAATATGTTAACTTTATTAAAAGGAAAATAAGCCGGACAAACAAATTAGATGAGATACAATCCCTAAAAAAATAATGCATTTACATAGTAAAGTGATAAAGTAATTGGTCGTGCAAATGTAATCTGACTTTTATATTTGTGTAGCAAAACTTGTGCCAAGGGAAAAAAAAAAATCTGGTCTGCCCCAACTTTTTAAAGTTCCTAATTTCTGTGGAAGATAAGCCATTGGTCTATTTCCTTCAGAGATAAAAACATACACTGCCTTTAATGTCTTCTAGACATACTGTACAGCTTTCATAACGTGAGATAATTCATCACATTAAACATGACAAGATAATTTGGGTTCGTCACACTCATAGTTTTATCAGTAATTCTTGCCTGGACTGGAGAAAGCCGTAAAAATCTTCCCCTGTTTTCAGTCACCTCACAGCTTAGGGAAAAAAAGACAAACCTGTATGTGGGGAAAATCCTTTAACAACTTTTGTATCTTCGTGCAGTCAATATATTTGTGTTCAAGATTGAAGCTGCCATTAGTGCATTCACCGTACATCAGTCTACATCTGTGTTTAATGACTCTATATTGGCTCTATTTCCATAATGATTTGCTGATGTAGACTTTTTGGTCCATCCTCTTGCTCTTAGTCTCTGGGCATCTGACGTAAAATCTTTAGCAAAGATGGAACAAATTCCGTCTATATCCAACCTGGCTTTGTCTTTTGGTTCCAAATGGCGAACGCTGCTGGGATATTTTTTTCAAAATACTTCAATTTCAAAGAAACCTGTCTTACTGAACACGCATTAGTCGCTGGGTTAAATCTCACATTGAATCACTAATGGGCCTTTTTTTCTACAGATGTTGACTACGCTTAAAAGTGTGTTTAGTTATACGGTAAAGTAATGGTTCTTTGCTGACAGGTCCCGACACTATAAACGCCTCAGAATGGAGAGGCTGATTTTGCGCTTTGATGACTAAAAGCAGAGATGCCTCTGATGACATAGAGGACTCAGTTGTGTCCTAGACCTAGTCAGTGACAGATAAGAACCTGACTATTGTAGGGACGCTTCACCAGAGACTGACCGACACACCACATACCACCTATCATGAAGCCGCTTAGGTAACGGGCAATCCATAGCTTGGAATCCTGATTCAATGGCAACATAACCATGGTGAGCTATGTGCAAAAGAAGTATTTTCTCCCCCCTGAATACCATGTATGATGACAAAGCAGTGGATGACAACAGTCAGAGAAAGAAAACAGTGTCCAGCACCGCAACAGAACAAAAGGACGGGTAGACACAACGGATCAGATCGTTAGCATCTACTCATGTTGGTGTAGAACGCTGCTCTGGTGTCATATGGTGGCTGTTAACTACACTGCATAACTTCACTGCACAGCATGCGATTACTTAAATGGTGTGAACAACACACGACAGCTCTTTATCAAGGAGCTGAGCAAAGAGTTAGTCGTGCAACATATGACAAGGGTCATAGAGGGCACACCTCAACCACAAAAGATGAGAAAAACAAAACATACAAGAGGACAACAGGCTGGAGGCCCACAGAAGGAGGAAGAGAGGAAAAAAAAGCGAGAAAAGCGAGCAGCTGGTGTTCTCAGTGCACTAGCTCTGGTGACATGGTGTGGTAATTTGGCAGGGATTCAAGAATTGAGTGGGCAGTTTGTGGTCCTCGAATGTGATCAGGTGGGTTTCGCTTTATATTGTCACATTTTCTGAACACGACAGGTTCAGGTACTTCAGTTCATTACATCACATGTATACATGTATTTTATCTGTACTAAATGCACTAAATGTGTCATTGTTTGAAGCACAGCTAAATGGGTCATTTTTGGCCAATGAAATAATACAAAAATTAATTTTGTTAATACAACATAAAAAGAGAGATGTAAATAATGGCCTTCACCAATCAAAAACAACTTAATAAAATCACTGACTTTGATTATTTAAATACTTTTAGGTTTCCATAATATGACAACTCCTCTACTTCTGTTAAAATTAATGGAAGGGGCAAAAGAATAATAATATATTTCACAGAAGAAAGAAATGTGAAGATTGGTAAGACGAGCTGGATCTGGACAGTCTGTCGAGATAACTGTCACGTTCAGCAAACAGGCACATCCATGCCCTGCAGCCTCCGAGAGATGTTTTTGTAGACAGACCTGGATGTTCACCAGGTTTCACAGCCAGACAGAAAAGACACTGGGGTACCAAATATCTTTTTTTATCGTTGACTTTTCTTTAAAAATTGACTTTATAAAGCTTGTTGATGAATGAGGGGCTCAGGTTTCACGACCCCTGTGGTGATGAAACCTGTTCTGAATCCTATCAAGCTAAAAACCCATCAACAGCTACAGAGAAAGTGATTTTTTTTCCCTTCTTCATGCCCTTCAAACACAGTTGCCACGGCTCCCTGGCCTCACACCTTCCCCAGTCACATTTGACAGGGCAGAGTTGGGGGGGGGGGGGCTGCACAGGGCTGGAGGGCAGATGTAGGGAGTGTCTGGGTGACTTTGTCCGCACAGCCAGTTGTGGCTGAGACATTGGAAGGCTGCTGCTGTGTACCGTCCAGTGCAGACGTCAATATAAAGGTAAGAGTCTGACTACAAAAATAAAACGTTTAATGAACCTCTAATGTTTCTTTGAGTGGAAACTTTTTGTGAGAATCTCACAGACACACACATCTAATGCACTGGTTATAAAATTGTATCATTATTTCATGAACAGTAACAACACGTACTGACCAGCCTCTATGTAATTCTGCTGCCATTACAAACATTAAGATAAAGCAGGATCTGATTTCCATCGCAATTATTTTCTGAATTACGACATTAATTATAGTACATTAACCATCCCGGTCTGTTTTCTTAAGTGACGCTAATGGCTACATAATTTTGCCATAACAAAGGCTCTAATTCCCAAGGGTTGAGATAAGACACCTGAGGGCCCTGAGAGACAACCATCTCAGTGTGATGGTCCTGTCTGTGTTCACTAACGATAATCCTGTAAAAACCCTTTTCTAAGAGCGATTGCATGTGATACCTTGAACCTTGTGAATTAGCAACATGGTCGAAAGTAGACCAGTCTGATCTGACTACTATTAGACTAATCCTACAAGATGTCTTCTCAGCTGACCATCTCTATTTTTTTTTACTTCGAAAAGGGTTATGATTGAAAAATTTGGCAACACAACCTTTTAAAAAAGCATCTAAAACTTGAGGACCACTAGCTATTTTTTTCATTTTTATAGTAAACAACCATGAACACATGATTGCGGTTACACCCACATCCCTACGGTACTACTACAGTAACCACCATGTATTAGAAAGAGAGGTAAACTATGGGGAAAAAAAGTCATGCCAATGAACAAATTTCCTTACCAGCCGTAGGTCAAACAAACTTACCAAAAAACAGAAAGATCATCAACTGAAAAACAGCCAACCAATGACCTTCCACCTAAACAATCAACCAGTAAGTCACAGAACATTCCAGTTAACCACTCAACCATTTAACCAACTGACAAGCCAACTTAACAGCCAATAAGCCAACCACCCAAAAGAAACAAAAACAACAACGTCAACATTGCATTCATTGGTGCTAATGTCTTCTTCTCACCCGTCATTAAGTCGGACCAGTATGGCCCTGTAGAGCTGGTGCTGCTGACTGTTGGATTCTGGACCACAGGGGTGGATGAATGGATGAACAGCTGCCAGAATGAAGCCCTGCTGGTAAAGCTCCTGAAGCTGACATGGTAACTCCCTCACCGAGGAGAGATGAAGCGTGGATGTTCCACCTAAAAAACATTAAAACATGGAAGAAAATGTGTGTGAGATAAAGAAAAAAAAGTCAGAGTTTTATATTAACATCGAGCTGCTGCATCAGAGTGATATTTATTTAAAACCAGCAGTTTTTCAGTAGCCTCAAGAATCATAGACACTGTTCTTTAAGTAGGTCTCTGGAGGATTTTGAGCACAGTAATTGCTTTTGTAACAGAAAAAAAAAACACCCGGATGGGCATTAATATCTACTAAGGTGAGCTAGAAATGGCAGGTAATTTAGTTTCGGTGACCTTTTCCCTAACTAAGGATGGTCCAAATGAAGAAACATGCAAAAAAATGTAGAGTTTTATAAACTTTACAATACCTCACTAGACACTGCCTTTCTATTGGCACATTTAGGTTAATCCTCCTGTAATAACTAAAATATAACATTCACAGTACTGTAAATGTACAATGTAGGTGACAATATTCTAGCACACATTGTCAAGAGGCAAGTAGAACACTGAACATTCAGTCTATGAAGAAAATAAGAATCTGCAGAATCTGCAGTGTTTCTGCCACTGGAAACAAATGACATATACTAGACTGAGATTCACAGCCATTAACCTCCATTCACTATACTCTGTTTGATTCATACAACAGGTTATCATTACTGTAGACGTGCTTCGCAGACAGCTTGACCTTCTTAACCTGATGCATAGTCTTTCAATGATGAAGCAGAACTGAGATGGAAAAAAGCTCCAAACTTAACAAACAGAATAGCAGTAGTAAACAAGAATTGTGGGAATCCGACAACCCATCAGACTGACTGAAAGTTATGACCAGCCTCCTCTTTTGTTACCATGTCACGGCACTGATTGAGTCCATGGATGATTATGTAGCATGCTTACGTAGTATGCCAGTGTCACCTATAAGCTCTCGAATCTCAGTAGCATATGTTCCACTACACCACAATGACCCCTGAGCAACTCCCAGAATAGATAGGATGTTGTGTAGGTTTCGTAAGATTTACCAACGAGATTCCTCTCATTGTCTTCCAGGAGCCTTGACAGTATTACAACCAGAATTTTATGAGTTTATAACAGAGCCAAATAGGAAGTTTCTCTAAAATCTAAGATAATTCCCATAAGGCGGTGTTGGAACATAGTGCAGTCATAAAACTTAGAGACATAAAACATAAAATATATGTACAGAGGTTAAAGGCTTTGGTGGCCAGTGCAATTTCAGACAAATAGATGGAAAGATAATTTGAATATAAGATCCCTCTGGAAACGGCAGGGGGCGATGTGTAGTTTTAGGGGTTTTTTAAGTACATTGCTGTGTATTATCTTCTGTTCTGGTTTTTATAAAGCTGATTCTGAAACTTAGAAACTAGGTACTTGACTCTTTTTTTAACTGTTTTCAGTGTTTGCTCTCAAATGTTTTTTTGTTTTTTTTTTTGGATAACAGAAGATTTCTAACCTAACCTTGAATTATCTTCGACTAGCTGACTAAACTAACTTAGCTTACATCGGGCTAACCTAGCCTACTCAATATATTTTTCTAACATCCTTTTAGTCCAGAAAAAACATTTGTCTTTTATTTTTTATTTTATTTTATTTTGCATTATGCTAGCTATAAGCAATTTAGAGCTAAAAGCAATTCCAAGCTAAGGTAACTGTGGCCAATATACTACTATTACCATACTGTATATACCCATAGCTATGATTTGACTATTTTCAGATATTTTTGATCGTGTAAACTCCAAAGTGTTGGAGTGGACTCAAATACAAATGCTTACTCAAAAAAAGACTCCAAAACAAACATTACTTAACCAAGTCCCTCTCATTTTGCCCTGTCATTCCAGGACAGTATTATTCACATTTACAACGTCAGTGATTTTCAAGTCATTCCCAGTTTGTTTTTGCAATTAATGTCTCTCATTTCACTCCATCCCCTCAATCCGGGAGTTAATAGGATCGGATCAAAATCCAATCAGAGTTGATTGCTTTGGTTGGGTGTCACAGCGGCTCTCTTTATAGTCTGACACTTCACTCGCATACGCTCTCAGCTTGTCTTGAATGTCCAAGCACAGCGGACAAGGGTCTGACTTTAATGAGTGGCGATCGGTGCATGACCAGCTGTTTTTCCCTCAGGGATTAAATCTGCAGCTCAGAGGCTGTGGTGATGGTCTTGTTTAAGGAAGAAGCGGCACACACACACAGCTTCTGTCAGGCCGCATCAGCCAATCGCAATGTTTAGTAATGGATGGAGGGAAGGAGAAGGGTTCTGTTTCGGGAATTGGACCAATTATACCAGAAAATAGAAAGCTTTATTGCTGGAGGACAAGGAGAGAAAATCCTAGGAAACAAAGGGAAGAAAAATGAAGGCTGAAAAACAAGAGAAAGAAAGAAGAAAACAATGCTCAATCCCATTTCCTCTCTCTCTTACTCAAAATGGAACATTTTCACTAGCAGTAACCTCAACCCAGAGCCATTATAAAATTTTAGGGAAAAATGATTGAGAAACCAATTAGAAGAGATTGGAGCACAGACCAAACTCGCCTCAGTTCAGGAGTAAAAAAGAAAAATGGGACTAGGCTTTAGGCCGATGATTAGCGGGAGAAATTATTTTGGCCTTGGACTTGCCTACTTCCTCATAAATAGATAGGGATACAGAGAGGCAGTAGGCCTGGGTCCCAATCCGCTTCCCACTAAGTCCATTACCAAGTCCACTTTCCATTTCAGGGCAAAATGAGAAATGCAATTGGCTCCAAACTCCACATTCTGGTTGAAGGATGTAATGGATGTGATGTTTCTTTCCAAAGGCTCCTGGTCATTTACAGGTCTGATTGGCTGAAAGAAAGTTATTGTTGACTGTTGTTTATATCTTTATATTAAACTCTGCCTCCTTCAGTTGGACCCCAACATATCAATGAGTAGAGTAGACATGACTCTGCCAAGCTTTACAAAAGTCACTGCCCACATTCTCCCAGGAGTGGCTTACATTTTGGCATTGTTGTTAAGCAGTGCCAACTACAGAATAGTGTTGAGTTCAGAGTTGATTTGGTAGTGGAGTCGAACCTAAAACCTTCCAGACCCATGTTTTCTTCCTTAACCACCAAGCCACCACTGCCCTATGGTGTTTTGGAAGAGGATCCCATCATGACTCTATTGTACTGTTGCCAGCTGTGATTTACATTTACTGTAACATCACTGTTTTTACACGGACATGGTTTGAGAAACATTTTAAAACCCTACACGGGAAATCCCTAAAACAGGAGATGACTGAGCTGAAGTGGAAAAATAATCGAGCAATTGAGAGGCCGTGTTCTGGACAGCTCTGGCCTGTGGATTTCCGATTTTCTTGGATTGCAGCAGTACCGTGTATGAGGTGACATTTACTGCCGGCCAAACAGCTGGCGTGTGTGGGAAATCGCCAAGACAAAGAGCTTGTGGAATCAGAATCAGACTGTGGAGGAGTGGGGGAGGAAGGGAGGGCGGTCTGGAGGTCTGTACAAGCTGTCACAAGACATGTGAAATCGGTCTACGGCTAATTAGAGTCAATGAGAGTGTACAGAACCTTAGTCCCAGATCTATGGGAAAAGTCAAAGTCTAACAGTTCAGACGGAGGTCAGACGGAGGTCAGACAGAGGTTTGATCTGTCTGAGGTTGCAACAGGAAATCTAATATATAAGCTGCCTGGTGAACATCCAGGACACTTTGAAGCTGCATTTAATTACATATTTTCCCATCAGCCTTTAATGAAAACGATTTCAGATCCCATGACTCATCATTCTCCTCTGATTATTTTGCCCCTGATCATTAACCTTGCTATTATAATGAATGAGTCTTTATTTTGTTTAAACATTTGCTGTTTTACTGAACTGTATATCAAACAAGACTTGACATTTCTGTTTCCTTATAATTAGGAACATCCAATATTATCGCGTATAGCATAATTAGTTCATTTCTGCGTGAAAACATTATTGGTTTTTCCTCCGATAATGAAAACCTGATAACGAGTGCCCTAAAAATAGTTTTGGGTAAAAACAGCTGTATATTAAAGTGAAAGTCACTAGATGGCAGAATTGCAGCTCACTTAATTAATCTCTTTTAATAGTCAGGGGGTTGTATACAGAATGCTAGTGCCAGCAACTCACACAGTGGTTTGTACAGATAAATATTACCAGGCCTATATTGGTATCGGATATCGGAATTGGAAATCAAGTGTTTGGACAATATCAGCATATCGGATATCGACAAAAATATCGAACATCCCTTGTTATAATTACACAATTAGGTCTCAGTGTCGCTCTATGTCACTAGAGTCCAAGTCTTAAACGCTCAGCCTTTGGTGTTTGACTTCAAATGCAGGATTGAGTTTAGGGTGTGAACAGTCATGTTCAGTCTAAAGTCCACCTTGTATAAATCTAAATTACCAGTATTCCAGTCCAAGTGAAGCTTGGTCCCAGTCAGTAAAAACAGCTTCTGTTGCATTTGTTTTGCATCCATGAGACTGAGCGTAAGTCAGGTTGTGTGTCAGTAATAATTCAGGTCTTTGAACACAGTTTTTGACTCTAAGTTCAGGACGGAGTCATCGGTAATTGATGTTCGTTTGAGTCACAAGACCTGGATGTAAAGATTTTGTTCACTATCACACTTATTCTTCCCTTTGTGCAAAAGTACAGAGATTTTTGGAAACAATAAAATAAAAAAAAGGAAGAAGAAAAGAATTTAGATCAAACTCAATCCCTCAGGGCAAATGAGGCCTTTGGCTAAAAATACTCTCACCAAATTTCAAGAGCTCACTCTCTCCTACTGCACCACACATAAGCATTAGTGGTAAAAAGTCTGTGCATAAATTAATACAAAGAAATAAGTCTCTGTTGTAAAGCAATGAAACAGTTTCCTCTCTCCTGCTCCTCTCCCTCCTTCCTCCATCAGTGGCTGCCTTCAGACAAAGCATTAATCCCTCTGTGATCTTTGATTGTGTATTCATTCCTTTTCCCTCTTCACTTTTGCTGCTGTGTAAATATGGCCGCTTCTTTTTCCCACAGGGATGCTGTTGGTTCACGAGGTGGTGGATGTGAGGTAGAAAATAAAATCCCCATTTATTTAGCTACTCTCTCTTTCCATTGTAGTTTAAGATGAGTAAATAAAGAATGGTTTCAATTAAACATTGGGGGAAACACAGCCAGTGGCTGCTCCAAGTTGGCTTTAATCGCTGTGTGAGCTGAGTTTTATTTTTCTTTCCATTTCTTATTTTATCCATGGGACATTAAAATTTACAAGCACTACGCATATTTATCAAACCAAATTTTATTCTTAAGGCTGCCCAGAGGAACACAGTGTTGCCCAGTAAGAGAATTTCATTTTGTTGGCTTAGTTATATCCCTTTTTAATTATATTTTGGTCACATTTGTTTGTTCTTTTAGTCAGACTTTAGCCTCCACTTAGATATTAGTAAACTTCTTGGCAATTTGTGGCTACACTTACTGAGACATTTGAGCGGTTTTAGCATTTTTTAAATACTATATAACTTTTCTGTCCAATTTTAGGCTAGTTCATAGCTACACCTTTAAAATACTGCCCTGCATTTTGTATTTATAAGACATTCTGGCACACTTAATCTAACATTTTAACTTTTGCTTCATAACTGGCTAACTGTTACCATTATTGAATTCTAACGGCATACTTTTAGACATTTCTAAAATCTAAATAATTAAAATCTAGCTGGGAGCCTGTGTAGTTAATACAGAACTATGTAAAATTGTGTGATGTTAAAGTTAGAAATGTAAGTGTTGCAGCATCAAAGGGACTGAGATAAAAAGACTACACAAAAAACAAGATCTTTGAAATGTAAAATATAAACATATTGTGAAAATAAAATGTTTTTAAAAAATAATATAAAATAAATTATACATTATATAATATTTAAAAACTACTAACTATACTAATATATTATAAACTCACACAATTTCCTTAGTGTAATCTCAATCTAATCTAAGAAACAATATGCTTTGCCATAATTAATAGTGGATTACCAGAACTATCCCTTTAAATGTGGCAGGTGTTTCTCTACACACAGGAGCATGCCGTACCCTTTGACACCACAACAGCAAAGTTACACTGACCTGATTGCTTTGCCTCATGTAAGACATCACAAAGTACAAAAATGATTATCCATTCTCCCTTTAGCATGAAGACAATTATCACTTCCTTCTTTTACATTAACCTCAACCATGGCACCCCATGTGTCCCTCACTTTCTGTTCCCTCCTGTGTTTCATGGTGCCATCTCTGTGATAGTTGTTCACAGTAACATAATTTTACAAAAAAACAATTTGTTTGTTGTCAGCAAGAGCCCCCCTTTTTTTCATAATTTGTCAAAAGCAATTTTTCCCTCCTCAATCTCCTGTTGGGTTTTTTAGGGGGCAAAATGTGTTTTTCCAGGGTAAACAAAGAAGACAAAGTGAGGTAATTGGCTGCCTGTGAGCCATGTAAGCTTTAGCAGATGCCTTCAAAGAGCCTGCTAATATATTTGCAGCATAAAACATGGTTCCTTGACAACACACACGTACAGGGTTTACACAGCAGCTAATTTGCTCTCATCTAAGAGCAACAAAGTGATTCTCCCTGGATTATTGACGGGGATTTTACAGGATTTGAGGGGGAAAGTAAACATCCTTGAAAATGAAAGAGGTTTTGCCAAAATTCCTGATCCTTCTCTTTGCACGTCCACTGAGTGAGAATTTTACACTACTGATCAGGGGTCACACAGTAAAACAGTATAGTATGTAATCTGTTGAAATTGAATAAACAGGGCTTTCTTCTTAAAAAGGTAAGAAAAAACATCCAAGATTAAGCAACATAAAAGTTGGCCAAACAATTAGATGTTTGTAAATTAATAAATGTTAGCTTACTGTTTACAAACTTAAATAAATAAAACAGACAAGAATTACCAAATTAAGCAAAGTGCTACGTACATGTGAGCTGAGAAATAACATTGCGGTAAAAAGGTTAACAAATACAATGTAAATAAAACCTAAAATATATGAAACAATATAAACTAAATATAGCTAAATTTGAAAAAATACAATACATGAGCTTAAAATTTCCCAAAATGCTAATTAAAATTAGCATTAGTTTGTCAAAATAAATAAAACAAAAAACAAAACAAAAAAAAACATAAGTATGGCTCAAAAGTCCCCCAAAAATAAGTTAAGATTGAGCATAACCACAGCAACAATGTGCTTTTTAATACTACTTTTATACAATTAGGTAAACATGTGCTAATTATCCCCAATGGTAACTGTTACTAGAAAAGGTGAGCAAAATGCCCTCCTAAAAAAGGTAAATGTCTGCAGCAATAATGTTAATGAAACAAAGACTAGTAAAAAGGAAAATGCAAACAGAAAATCAACAATTTCATTTTGACACTGTCTGTTCATTGTGATCACGGATATCATTAAAAGCTGTCAAACTCCAGTCTAACAAAGAGGGTAAACAGGTTAACAAAAATCTGTCTTAGTTAATATTTATTGAAAGATAGTGAATAACTGACTGACTGACTGACTGTGTGTGAAGCCGGTCATCACGTTCATTCTGTACTAGAGATCTAAACACAGCAGCTTTAATATTCAAGTACGGCAGAGTTCACCTGAGGAGCAGAATAAATAATAAACACCGCCTGCATTTATTTCTCTGATGGTGACCTTCCACACACGGCTGCTGCACATATTTAACCCTGCTGTCGCGTGGAATCTGGGCTGTCTGTGGTTTCATGTTCCTCATTACTGGAGGAAATCCAGATCTGATGCTGTTGTATTTACTCACAACAGCTCCGATGGCATCTGTCTGTGTTTTTTTCCCTGCCCTGCACAATAATTAGATCCAGACAGAGCCACTGTCCAGGTGGTGGGAATGGGAACAAAAGCTTTTCAAAATAAAATCCATCCATCTATTTTCTATCTACACTTGCTTATCCTTTCAAGGTCGCCCAAGAAGCTGGAGCTGATCCAGGCTGACACGGAGTGTGACACGGAACAGAATCGAATAGAACAAGTGGTGGGGAAAAAAGGAGAAGATGAGGGAGGAAAGAAGAAATGAAGGAGAAAAAGTTTTAGCCGAAGTGTGTAAGCACAGGAATGAGATAAAGTAAAGAAAGAAGGAGAAAAATAGAGAAGAAACAAATGTTGGACAGATGAGACTGGAAATATATTTCTTTCATAGACCTGCTGATAAGGCACACAAAAGGGTGATGAATAACATTCTGCTCAGATCAGAAACAAGATGAAGGCGAATGACGCACGATAAAAGTTTGCTTATTTTTCCAAACACATCTGGAGCTCAGGACTAACTAACATTCAGAGCTGAGGTTATCACAGCTGCGCTGCGGTGGAAAGGAGCTACTGCAATACACACACTGTACACAAACTCCAGTCGTGTTCCTCAAAGAAAAACATTTTAAGACACACTCTCAACCAATTCACACTGCCAGTTTCTCAGTCTTGAGGAAAAAGCCTAATCCACAATCTGAATGGATACATGAGAACACGAAGACCACCGGAAGGACAGTACCAATGACTATAAACCCAAATCCAACTTGCTGTTAGCTGACCTTAAATATTTCATAAAAAACGATTAAAAAAGCTAAATATATCAAATATATTACAATAATATTAATAACAAAGTGATAATATCAATGCAGTTTCCTTTCTTGCAGGTCTTTTTAATTTCACATTTACGGACCACTTTACTTTATTACTTTTTGGGGGCTAACTTTTAGCAATTACTGCTATATATTTAAAAAATATTTTTTTTACTTATCTATTAATTAAGCTACATTCTCATAAATTTTTTACACAAAATGCATTTCCAGAACTCAAACTGATTTTGCTGGCATGTGTCTGAATACTAAAATGTAAAAGTTCACGTTTCAATACAGGTGTTACTCTTAGCTAAGAGCCGACTCCGACTCATTTTCAAAAACCTTGTTTAAAGAATAAATGGGTAAATGTGAAATTCATAGGAGGGTAAACCGGTGTTTTCTTTTTCCTTAGACCAATGTACTGAGCATTAGAAACATACTACACTACCCAACATGCACTACGGACATAACGCTAAACAGCTTAAATTTAAATTAGCGTACACAAACAACCACACCACAGTATATCACCGACAATATTCGTTTATTTCAACATTTTAGCGGACAGTGAGGTACCCACTATTGCATTTGTTGCATCTACCATTCAACCCATAGCGAAATCCAACCACACAGATACTCACCCTGGCACCGCTGTACTTCCTGGTCCGGCCGCATCAAGTGTCCCAGTGGAAGCACGAACCACGAAAGAGCTCTGATTTTGTGTTCCATCTTGGGACAGGTAAAACTTCCGTTTGGTGTTTGGGGAGTGTTTATCTGTTCTTATCATTGTTCAAAACATTTAGTGGGTCCTGTCATGATTACAGATGTTTGCAAATATGTGTAGTTAGTGGTTATGTGTTTTCGTTAAGGGAATTCATGTAAATATTTTTGATAATCACGTAATATTTTGCAATACTCCATTGTCAACTCTGTCATAAAGAGCTCACCATCTATCCAATCACTGGGGTTTTATTTAAAGGGTGAACTTGGAGACTGAGCGAAGTCTTGCTTTGAATCAGGTTGGTAGTAGACTGAATTGGAAGTTAGCAAGTTGTGGCTTGTAGTGAGGCTGTGTGTACATTTGTAAATTTATTGAAACCTGTGATCCCCTCGCCCCTTTTCTGCAGTTGTTTGCATTTTTGAGTACCTTAACACACTGTAAATAAACCTGCAGTGTTATTCACCAAAAGTTACGTTATTCACTTATATTTCCTGTTTAATTTGGGTGAATGTGCTAAGTGAGGTCAGGATGGTGACGTCACAAGGAGAAAGTATCCTGACCGTAGTAACCTCACACTGTGAACATTGTTTGTTTATGTTTATAGTAATGGTTGAGCTCACAGAAAATATATTTACACTTCAACATTCAGAGTCATAAATTGACGAGACGGTTTGAGTTTACACTATGTAAAAGGAAGATAAACAACACTGCAATGATGAATAACACATTGTAATGTTTTGTTTTCTGTATTTTTTTTTTTCTGAAGTAGCAAGTATTCAATTATACGGTCATTTTCCTAGGACCAGAAAGGAAGAGGCAGAAATTATATTAAACTTTTTTAAACCTAACATTTAAGTGTATTCTTGGGAGGTCTTCATTGTTTTTTTTCCCTTGTAACTGACCACTTTTGAGTGATTCTCAATCGATGGGTCGTCATCATCATTGCCTCTTTTTGCTCAGCCTTAGCTATCTTTGGATTTTTTTTCATAGGTTTATTGAATTCTGGACAACAAAAGTAAGTATCATGATTTTGTGGATGACCATGAATATTAATTGAAAAAACAGCAAATTGTTTGTGCGTAGATATCTCCGTAACTGTGTTCTGATTTCTTGGTATTCAATTAAAGAATAATCATTAGTTATAGCACATACTTATTAATGTGTTTTAAATCAGTTTCTCATTTGAAGCTAAATACAATCTTATGTACCAGAGGCAGGAGAAGGTGATGAGAGTCTGTAAATGTTAAAAAGAACAGTTAAATTGAATTCTCCTTGTAAATGTTGGCCATCATTATAAATTGCTTTTTATTCTTCTTCATTTGTGGCATTACGCCCCCTAATAGTCCCCCTAAGTCTAATGTTACCTGCATGTATTTATCAATGTAGTCTACATATAGAAAAGGTTGACATGTCAGATGAAATAAATAAAAGGCTCACTTAGGAGAATCATTTGTCTGAAGGCTCAATGTTGACAAAGCAGTTAGTATTGACCAACTAAAACAAGACTGTTCTCTTCCCAAAGCAATTTGCTGTGTTTTTCCTCAGCAGATTCATAAATACAGGGAGACGAGAACGTTGCAGACCTAGGTTCTTGATAAAAGCGGTGTAACATGAACGTTCTGGCACATCATTGGCCTTTGGGATCTGAAGTCAGCGCAGCTCTGTTCTCTCTGTGAAACAGTCACACCGTTATTCAGTGTCCAATTAAAATGGCCTTGGTCTCCTCAGGAGCTCCACTCCTCTGAGGACCTCCCGCAGCAGACACGCTCATTCTCAGCATCCTGCCTTCACTCATTAGGCTCAGAGTGGAAATGCCAGGAACTCCTCCGTCCACCCTGCTGCCACCTTCACTCTGCTTTTTTCTCCATCTCCTCTCCCTCGGCTCCCGTTTCTTCCCTCTACCGTCATTGGAAGAGGAACAACTTTCTCCACTTGGCTCCTGTGCACATTTTCAGTTTTTTTTTTTTAATTCTCTCTGTAGGAAACTATGCTTTGCCGCTGACCAACCTCTGAAAACCTTCTGCACCCATTCTCTTCAGAAGTGTCAGATCTATAAAAGGTCTCTACAGCTCTCACCCTCCCTCTCAACACTCTCCTCCACTTCAGTGCATGAAAGTCTGGTACTTACCCAGTTTGCTTTCCCTGTGTCAAGTCAAAATGGAAAAACCAGACCAGTGAATGGGTATTAGTATTAATTAAAGTCAAGATTAAAGACTGTCAAGTCTTTAAAATGCATGTTTCAAATTTCATTAAACCCATAAAAAAGTCAGAAAATCTCATGCTCTTTCATTTCATTTCATTTATCTTATCACTATTTTTTTTGTACTTATAATCAGTTGGTAACCAGTTGTTGTATTTTTTGTGTGCTTATAATCAGTTGGTAACCAGTTGTTGATTTCTAACAATTTCTATTACCACTCAAATTAAGTCAGAACTCATACTGTAACATAAATATTTATGTCACGCACCTACAGTAACACAGTGGTAACATCATAACCAAGGACACAGCTGAGAAAACTATGGCCTGTGGGCCAGATGTGGAGGCTGGACTTTTCAATTGGGCCCCAACACTGGTACAAGATATGGTAAAGACTTGTGTCAATCCTTCTGTTTCATGCAATACAATGAATTGAAATTAAAATTGGCACAATTGATGCCATCAGGCATCTGTTGATGCCTGATGGCATCAATTGTGCCAAATTATCTTTGAAAGTTTAGGTTTATACTTGTACATTTTATTTAAATTATTTTCGCCCAGCATTCTTCATCCAACCAATACTGAACCGGCCTGCCAGTCAAACCTCATGTTGGCCTGTGAACCACAGAGTTTGCCCTGTGGCAAATATTCATCTTTTTCTACACTTTCTACTCCGGTGCAAAAAACTAGTTTTAAACCATGCACTTGTCCATTCCTCCACCCTTCCCCCTACCGCGTCCCGTCCGCCCACTCTCTCAGGTACAGAATCAAGTCATTAACAGTCGTGGCTCAGAGTACAGAGGGCCCCGGGGCCAAAGCTTTGTGCCTTAATTACCCATTTAATGAGTCACTGAGCGAGTCACCAGGACCCACTGCACTCCTTCATCCTTTTCTCCTGCTCACACATATGCTGCATTCTGACAATTCCCCTTTGACTTAAATAACTAATCACTCCTTCAACACACTTACACACACTTACACACCCCTAATGACCCCTGTGTAACTCTGTCATCTCACGCTCTCTGCTTGAGTTAACCCACACACAAAAAGGTGTGTCATATTTAAACCAATAACACTTCATCAACAATTCATTTAAAACTTGAAAGTCAAATCCATCCATTCATCATCTACGACCTTTCCAGGGTTACAGGGAAGGAGCTGCAGTCAATCCCACCTGTGAGTGGGCGAGGGTGGGGTTCACCCTGCCTAGTTTGTCAGTCGATTCTGAACATTTAGAGACATTCAAGCTAACATTAACCCCTAGGGTCATTTGTTTTTTACCCCATTTTGACATCACAAATTTCTGGCGACCCCTGAGACATTTTTTTAATTAGAATTATAATGAGTTACATTTATATACTAGACATTTCAGACGACCCCAGGTGACCCGGCATGGGGTCACGACCCCAAGGTTGAAAAATATTAATATAGAATGACTGATCATCCTACTTCCCTAATGAACATGTGTTTGTACTATGGGAGGAAACCAGAGTCCCTGGTGAAAACTCACACACACACTAGGAGAACATATACAACTCCATACAAAATGATCACTTGGTGAGTGTCTGTACGCCACTGAATAAAAAATTTAAATAGAACAAAATTAGGAATGCAGAAATCAAAATGTTGTAACTTGCATTAACCATGTTTACTGACCCATTAATTGATTAACACCATGTTTTCTGACCACTGCCCATGAATGGCTCTTAGAAAGAAACCCAATTCTCTGTGATGAAGTCATCAAATGAAATGTTAAACAAGACAAAGCACGTCACTAAAGATACTGTAAGAGTGCGGTGTGACAGAACGTTATTTATACATACAGTTGCCTTCGCCCTCAGTCTCTCTCTGTCTTCACGCCTTCTGTGCTCTCACTTTCTCACACTAACACTGACGCTGATGGGATCACACCTGCATGTGGAGCAGAACAGTCTGCTCCTCTTCACTTCCCAGATGCTGCGAGCGGACACGATGATGCTTGTGCTGTGCCACTTAGACACGAACTGAACTGCTGTCTGAGGTTCAAGTCCCACAGCCTCGGAGTCGATGATAGATTAAAAGCAGCTAGAGCATGAATGTCCGACAGAAGACAAGAGAAAAGAATAAAGTGCAGGCATGTTTACAGCGAAGCATCCCGGGGACCGGTACCGATCTGTAGGTCATTTGGTACCAGGCCTCAGTACTTCAGTTTTACTAATTTATCTTACTTATATCCCTTTACTTTTGTTCATTAAAATACTGTAAGGTTTATAGTAACGGCTGATACCGGCCGACCGGTCCTTGATAAAAAAATAAGATTTATTCCTTTAGAGGAGCCCGCACAGGTGGTAGGAGCATTTTTTGTAACTTCCTTGGGAAGTGTCCGGTCCTGTCCATGTGAGGGCAGAGCCAGGACACATCCCAGAAGACTTTAGTGGAAGTTGCTTGGGAAAGCAGGGTGTGAGCTTTTCTGCTCAGACTGCTTCCTTTGAAACCTGGAAAAGTGTCAGAAGCTGAAGACCAAAGGGCGTTGTCAACCTCCTGCTATTTAAACAATTTGGATAAATTTGAGTGAACATGTGCCTTTCATTATATGTGTTTGAAGTGTATGTACGTGTTAGCCATTTTGACAGCTCTGGTTAATTTGTAGCTGTAGTTATCATTATTGCCTTTTATAAGTATTTTTTTAACGTTGATAAATACTTATCTGTAATCCTAAATCTGGAGAAGATAAAATAAACGAGTACTGCGTCAAATGACTACATGGCCAAATATGTGTGTAATGGGAGCCTTGCTGTGGTTCTTTAGAATTTAAAGCCCATTCAATTATTTTAAGACGTCTTTGATCCCGCAAAATATCTGACTATCAGAAAAAAGCATTGAAAGATGATTTAGATTGTTTTTATACTCTTTCATGTTTCACAATAAGATCAATAAGATGTTAAAAAATCTGATGAACAATACTTTAAAATATTTCAAAGAATATATGTATTCTGTATATTTGACTGTTTTCTTGTTGTTTGTATTAAAAAGACAGGGTTCAAGTGTTTAAAAAAAAAAAAAAAGAGAAAACTTTTAACAAGAAAACTATTGGAGCTTTTACCCCGAGGCCTCGACTCAAATACAAACTCCTGACCAGGAAAGTGGGGACAGGCTCAAGACACTAGGTAAATGATACGTGTTATTTTACTCCTGCAGCAAATCCTGTTAAGATGCCCTTGAGCAAGAATCTTAACGGGCCAATGGTTGGATGAAGCTGCTGAGTCCTACCAGACTGAGTGGGTTACTTGTTAAGTTCTCTTTTCTCGATACATTGGTTTTTACCAGTTTGTTTTATTGACTAGAGAAATACATGAATATGAAATTTGATCTATTAAATTTCAGTTTTTAAACTTGAAAGAGAAAATGAGAGAAAATGGCAATTAAGAGTTAAAGCTAAATAATTAGATATAGTTATTCTAAATATAATTATTCTAGATGCAATCATTCTTGTTTTAGAGCTTACTGTAGCCCATAAATACATTTAGTAGAATTTATTTCGTAGATTTATTTATTGTTACACTGAAATTACTATTCCTTGGCAAAATGTGTTACCTCGAAGCAACAGAACTCCCCATTAAATTTCATTAAATTTCATTATTATATTTGTGTTATTGACATTCAGATAGCTATTCAAATCTACAGACTCACATTTAGTTATCCTGGATAATTTATGCCTACCATTAAGATAGCGTTTGACTTTAAAATACCCTTATCACACATAATAATTAATTAGCTAATTCTGGATATTTTTTAGAGCTATCTTTTAGCTGTTTATTTTCTAGTTGTTTTTTTAAATATAATTGCATATTTTAAGGTATCTTCACTTACCCTAACGGCTGGAAACTCGCACACAAGTGATCTATCTAAGTTTAGCAGTTCAGGCTAACGATCGGCTCAGATAAGTTCTCATAATTTATGCAACATTTTAGTAAACAACACAAAGCCCTTCGTTTTTTGTGTGATTAATTGATTTAGCTTAAGGGTAACCTGACACAGATGAGTGTCTGTGCGAGCACAGTCAGTTAGTTACAATAGATAGCTCACAGAAAAGCTTTTCTGGGAAATGACACGCAAAAAGAAATAGCCCTGAAGTCCAGATAAATGCTAATACAATTAGTGTCTCTTTGTCTAGACAGAGCATTTAGGAGCACGGAGCAGCTTAGGGATATATGTAAAAACACATGCATTTCTCCGTCTTTGTCCGGAGCTGCAGGCGGACGCTTTCAGCAGAGAGGAAAAAAAGAAATGCAGTACGTCAAAGCTAAATGACTTGAAAACATTTTGAAGGCAGAACAAAAGGGCATGCTAATGTCTCGATGGGGGAAAACTACCTGTAATTTGTTGAGGCAGGTAAAAAATGTATATATGAAGAAGAAAAAGACCCCACACACACACACACACGCTTCCTATGTTTTTTCCCCCTTTATTCTGATTCTCTCTCTCAGGACCTAAAGTGCGCCTCCACCACTGGTCTTCATCCTGACAGTTCTACCCCCAGAGTGCGTTTCGCCCGCTCAACGCCACTTCCTCTGCTGACAGACCTCAGTTGCCTGGAGACACAGCTTGAGAGACAAGCTGCGGTAAATGAGCAGGTTGTTGATCAAAGCCCACGACCGCTCCACTGCTGCGTTTTCAACTGCACAAAGCTCAGGCGTCACACTTCCTGTTGCTAACTCCAACTTCGCAGCCTCTTTTCTCTGTAAAGCACAGCCTGACATTAGCCTCCTGTCAGAAACTGCATTTAAATCCATTTGTGCAGACGTGATTATTACGTTCCTTCCTCCCCTTTTTTTCCATTAGCAATGCAAAGGAGTGAGAATTAGAATTTTAAAACGCGGTGGTCCTGTGATGATTAAGCTCTCTGACAGGCGGGGAACGTTTTCACCCTGGGTTTGCCATTACATGCTTTGTGCAGTTGATTATGCTGCATAATTTGCTCTTTAGGCCAAAGACAAGCGCAGCCAGCAACAGTTGCTGTTGTTAAC